GGTAAATCATTACAGTTCCTAACTTTTGTTAAATTTTACTTCCATAACAAAGATTGAATACTTTTATACATATTTGAACAAGAATCAACCATGAAATTTGATTGAATTTTTTACCAGGGCAGGATTGGGATCGGGAGTGGCCATTTGAACATCTGGGTGTGTTGTCTGCTATCTAGAATCTAATCTGTAATGTGTTACACTCTTCTCCCACCACTAAGTGGCAGAATAATGTCCTCTAATGTGGTCACCAGGCCCTTGTTGAGAAAAAGTTAGTATTGTGGTCTAGAGAACCCAAAATGTGACGTCCACATATGTGGACGCCAGGTCCTAGGAGGTTAAGTTTGGTGTCAGGTGTTGAAAAGAGGATCTCTCTGAATTTGGTGGCAAATCACCGAACAGTCTGAGCCCATCAGATCTTAGCTGATCATTCGATCATTCCTGGCACCGCTCCGCATCCCTCTGCTTGATCTCCACTACTTTTTGCAACTTTTCCGAGCACAACAAAGTAATGAGTGAGATTGAGCTGGGAATGATTGTTCTTCAACACTTCAGATGGGAAGATCTGTCAGGCGACACACTGACAGTCACAGTGTCTCTTTCTCTCACGAGTCGTGTGCAGTGGGAAGTCTTGGTTAACCAGCGTGCAATGAAAGCTGATACAATACTCCTGCAGAGCTGCAGCAATGTGTGGTGTGTCACAGGTAGAAGACAGAGCAATCCAAAGCGTATTGATATGCATGCCAATTCTGACACTGATGACTCTCTAGACTTCACCTGTTAAAGAAAAAGCCTGCTATACGATGGAGAGAAAAAAAAAAAGATACTTGGCCTTGACATTTTTATCGCTGTACAGTTTGATTTAAAAAGTGTCCGTGTGTACAATAGCCTATTATTCTAAGAGAAATGTCAAAAACCTTGATTCTGAGTGAAGCGAAAGAAATTGCAATATTAGGACAAGGCTAATTTATGCTAGCAGTCACTGTAGAGGTCAGATATCAGCCTCAGCAATGACAGTTTTATCAGGAGAACAAATGGCAGCGTTGGCCGGGAGAAGGAAGGAGGGGGATACTTTACTGGACACATTAAAAGGCTGACCGGATGGTGCAGGTTTTTCACATTATAAAGTCAGGGAGTGGCTGATACGGTCTGTCTTGACAGATAACAAGCCAAAGTGGTTGACATCAGGCTGCAGCTATGAATCAAAACAGAACACTGTCGCTGGTTGAAACGCTTCAGACAAACTTGATAAAGAAACATTAAACACACAAGGTTCCCATGCATTTGCATGGCAGACAGGCTCAACAGGGCCCTACACTTGGCTCAGTGTGGTGCAACAACCTGGGCCAATAAGAAATAACTATTTTAGGTTCAGTGTCTATCCTTGATTTAACTTAACTAATTCCTAAGATTCTTTTTTACAGGCTTCCTGCAGGCAAGTTGAATTTCAGACATTTTATCACCACACAGACTCAAATTTAATTTACCCGAATCACAACTCACTACCAACAAAAGCATTGAACATAAAAAACGGAAGGGACAATATGACCTAGAATTATTTTATCACTTTTCCCAACAGAATATAACAATGAATCCTTCATTATATAATTAGATTAATTAGAGCGGCCTGGGCATGGATTAGTGGCAGAAAATGGGTGGATGGATTAACCAATTAAGAATGATTAAGTTGCTAATCAATTCATCGATTGAGAGAAAATCAACTATTTTGATATTCAATTAATCAGTTAATGAAATTGAAATTTCAGGTTTGGACTGTTAAACAGCCAGAACAAGCAATGAGAAGATGTCACATTAGGCTGTGGGAAGTTTTCAAGGACCAATTTCTATTACTTTTTGACATTTCATTACACTAATTGATTAATGAAGAAAATTGGCAGATTACTCAATGATGACAATAATCATTAGTTATAGCCATAATTCTTTGAAGTTCAGTTAAAATAAATATCTACCCATTCAAAGACAACAAGCCTCTACAGCTGTAGCTGCTGTAGCAGTAGTGACAGGACTTGCTGCAGGTCTGATGGTGCTGACTGAAGCTCCAACCCACAAAAAATGATGGAACAGCCTCCTATTTGCACAATCCACTGTTGCAACAATCCCATTTTTAGTTTGTAAGTGTGTAACATCTGCTGACAGCCAACAATCGCATACAAAAACATATCATAACTAGCGCTTCTCCTTACAGCGGGCAAGAGAAAGTATTTATGACCTTGGTAAATTCAATTTCAAACTCTTAAATACCTTCTCAGGCCTATTTTTGAGGAAACTGAATTCAAAGCTTTTTAAAACTTTTCAAGACCTGCAGATATCCTGTTTATAGCTGACAAAACAATACAAAAACAATTCAAATACAACACCTTAGCCTTGATGCAATAAGTGTGTGCATCCCATAATGATGCAACACCCTGCAGTTAGTGTGTACCGTGGCTCTGCGCTGCTGAAAAAAAAATAAAACAACCTGATTTGCAGTTTACGTTTGTACACAACTCTAACAAGCTCTCACTGCCTGAGGCAACGTAACATTTGAAAGGGATCACTGAAGCTTTCAAAATTATAAGGGTCATTAAAAATTTACACATTATTGACTGTATTTAAAACATCTTTTCCACTGACTGTAAAGAGCACTTAAATTTAAGAGGTGCTATTCTCCAAAGGCCATAAAGTTGTTATAGATAGCCTGAAGGAGGCATGGAGGAGAGAATTTTCTCTTGCTGAATATGAATAAAGTATAGTGGGGTGATACTGCAGAGACAGTTACACTGTAGTAACTGTACACTGTACTTACTTAAGCAATCAGGGGGCTTGAGGAGCTGTTTATAAATTACTGTGTCAAACCATCTAATCTGTGACTGTGAAATAACTACAGAAATATTTATAGCTGTATGTATGGCTGTCTAAAGTGCATGTAACTACACAGAAAGGATGCCAGATAAACAGTCAAAAGAACTGCCACTGTCTAAATTGCCCACAGTCCCGTCCTTATGTGTCAGTGCATTATGGATGGAAATACTCTAAAAGGAAGACTCTTTGACTGTGGAATGAATTTTAATGTTAATACAAAAACAGCAGCCTGTGATCTCAGCAGGCATCAGGAGGGGGTGTGAGTCGCTTCGAGGTGCAATTTATTCCAGCCTCTGAGCCTCACCAACTTGAAAGTGGGCTTCAAAAGAACTGAGGATTACCGGTAAGAGTTCCGAAGGCGCACACATGGGCCTGAGCTCTCGCCATCACTTCAATACATCAAAGATTATTGACCACTGACTTCCAAAATATGGACGATTCACAAAACTCTACGCAGTTTGAACTTGGGTTTTGAATTCACGCCTGTCCATTTTACTGTTCTCATCCCACTGCGTGACCATGTGAACAAAAGCTCTGTTTTGAATGCGCCTGCTGGCATCCACCGCTCTGGCCTGTTGTGGCTTTTAAGTGGCTTTTACTCAGCCCAGCACAGGATGGCAAAGCATAGCAATTCAAGTTGGCAAAGCCGTCAGCATCCCGTGCCAAGCCTCCCTCTCCTCAGCACCGCCACACCGAAGGAGTCTCAATTGTTTATTTACAATTTGCTGTGGAAATCCCCAAGTTCTTCATTGCAATAAATAATTGAGCTGTTTGATCTGGACACAGTACAAAGGGTTGCTCCATTCTCTGTGAGGCCTGAGGCGGAGGAAGCCTGAGCAGCATGAGCAGAGGAGGCGACACACACACACACACACACACACACACACACACACACACACACACACACACACACACACACACACACACACACACACACACACACACACACGCACAGACACTCCAGCATGGCGGAGATCTTGGAGCTCTCCTCCCTTCCTCTGCAGCTGTCGCTCCCTCTCCGGGCTACATCTCCTCCTCTTTGTCTGCACAGAACAACACTCCTGTCAACACAGTCAGAGGAGCGACCTGCCTCTGCCTCCTGGGACACACCACAAATAGCAGGAGTTTAGCCCTCATTGAACTCATGTTCTTGTTCAGGGGATCCTGTCTAGTTAGCCTGTCTCTCCGGTTCACCCTCGCTACCTCGTTGTCCAGCCACAACCTTTACGGCAGATTGCCCGGGAGTGATCAATTGCTTGTGTCTTCATTGTCGTACATATGGTACGGAAGCGCATCAACAGCTCGAGAGTACACTGAGCGTGAAATAAAAAGGAAAGAAAGGAGGAAAGCTGAACTTCAAGAGGAGCTCCTGAATATTGTAATATGACATTACCTTGCTGTGCTGGGCGGGGCGTCAGTGCTGGCTGTGATGGACGTTTCCTGGGACGGCTGATGCTGAGGAACATCTCCCATTCGATACCATATTCCCATATTGTTAATCTCACTGCAAAGATGTAGAAGAAAGACACACACACACACACACACACACACACACACACACAGACACACACACACAGACACACACACACACACACACACACACACACACACACAGTTTCATAGTTTTAAAAAGCTTGGTTAGTTATGCTTCAAGCTAATTAAAAAGTTTTATATGTATATGTTCTATATGTACACAATGTCACAAAGTATGGTGACTGATAGGAGATACAAGACATCATGACTGCATCCATTTCCGGCACCAAACTGCTCACCCTATGCAGGTGTAGTTAACAAGATGGTACTTGGACTTTGCAACGATCTGGATGTCATATACCGCCACCTCAGCAGCTGCACGAGGGCTGATTTTCACACAGAGCCTCCTCTTCCTCATGGCAGCTTCCTCTGATGAGTCAGGTACACATGAGGGTGTCAGACAGGAATACGTGGTCGCATATTCACTCCTGTCTTCTCTTAGTTTCAGGCTAAAAAAAAAAAATCTATAGACATGTTGAACCTCTAGGAGAAATATATATTCATAAATCCCACTTATACTTTGCTATTTAGTCTTCACCAGCCTCAGAATAAGAGATGAGCCAATATCAGTTTCTGGGTGACTTGCTATGCTCAAAGGGAAATAACTGGACAGCGGAAAGCCACAAAATCCACATGCATTATTATCATTTTTATCATTTTAGTAGGTAAAATGACAGAAGCAAGTGAATCCTCCATCAGCTTTAGTGCACAACAGGGATTTAAAGTGGAGATTCGGGATAGGAACTCATACATAATGCCACATGTATACATTAAACATGGATTCACATGAAGTAATAAAACATTAAATTACACCAAAGCCAAACAAAACATAATCTCTTTTCTTCATTCTGGCAAAAAGAAATATAAATAAATAAAAAAGCATTGCCATGCTTTCCTATATTGCATCTGTGCCTCGCTCATTTATTTCCCCAGCAACACTAGAAAGTGCAGTGTAAATGCAATGATAATAAAAATAATAAACAAGCTGTCCTCACTCCCCACACCAAAATATTATTACATTTCTAAGGCATGGATAGTGAGGGGGAAATACATAGCACTCAAAAAGCACTAAAGCATTGGGGAATGCATTTCATTAATATTAGATAACCCCCATCCACTCGTCCTCTCCCCAAATAAATACATAAATAAATAAGCCCCTCATAAAGAAAAGCACAGCTCCAGCTGAGATAAACAATGACTCATGATTCTCTTCTCTTGTACCTCCAGGGCAAAATGTTTATTTTATTCCCACAGTCTGCCATAAATTAAGCTAACCTGCACCCATAAAACATTCACTATCTCAAGCAAAGCTGCCCCTGAGGACCTCTGCGTAAGCTGGTCGGAGAGTGAAAAAACAAGAAGAGGAGGGGAGTGAGCCTGTGGTTGGTATTGACTGTTTACTTACTTGTGTCCATTGTTTCTTGCACAGGTGTGAAGCCCTCTGGCAACGTGTCCTTAATGTCAGTCAGCTTCATGTCCACAACAACGTCGGGCCCCTGGAAGACAGAGCACATGCAGGAAATTTAATGTCATCTATGCAAATTCAACTTTTTAAAAGGACAGCGAGCAAGGAAAAGAAAAAGGTTAGTCATTTTTTGGAGGGCTCAGAAAAGAAAATGTAGAGATAATAGAGTCAATGATTTACTAAAAGCTCAGGATGTCTCTAAAAAGAAGGGTTGACAAAATAGCTGAAGTAATTACTCTCTAATAGCCTTTTTTTTTTTTTTTTGCAATGAGAGAATGCATCTGTGAACTTGTAATCATTCTCAACCTTTTGGCGAGAAGCTGTGGGATGATGGGAGACAGAGCAGGCAGTCTGATCAACAGAATGGGACTGGTTAAAAACAATCAGGGTCTGTGTAGTTGACATTTTCAAGCATGACTCTTCCCTGCCTCCCATTACATTTTCATTTTTTGCCATAATAAATTGCAATAATACACAGCGGCAGTAGAGAGTGGGGCGAGCCAGGCGTGACTTGATGCGTCCGAAAAGGCTGGATTCCACTGCTACTGTTGCCCGACAGTCATTACCATTAGAGACATTTTTTATTCATAGTTTTTATACTGACTTAAGGAGAAATATGGATGAATGTTATTACTATGCATGGAACCTTTTTTAGTGTTTTCCCCTTTTACTGGAGAGATTTTTTCCATCAGGGCCTGACAAAAGGGGCTATCTACCTCCAACCTAGAGTATGATAAATCACAAACTATTTATTTCCCCCCACATAATTCAGGGGCTAATTTTACAGAATCTGTTTTTGTCATAGACAATTACAGTGGGAGCTCCATTGACTGGCAGACAAAATAGCCTTTGTTGATGGCTCTGTCATGTTTTATTTGTGTCAAAGTCTTTAAAACAATGTGGACAGACATTTTAAGATAATATACAGGAACTAGGGGGAGGCTATTTGTATGCTATATACTAAACTGAGGAGCAGATTGAGCTCAGGCACAAGGCAGCCACTGCCAAGTTGCCTGGCTTTTAGAGGACATATTGTACAAAAAAAAAAAAAAGAAAAGACTTGATTAAGTCCTAAAATTGAGCTGATGCAAAATAATAACAAAAGAAATGCAGGTTTTGTTTACAATGCTGTCTGCATTATCTACCAGAAACCCAGGGAAATAGACAGCCAATAGTGAGCTGTATGAGCTGAGGTTAGACAGGTTCATAATCCAGGAGATGTTTGCAGGTGTATTTATGGCCACAGAGCTACTGACAGCCATGCAACAACACATCAGCTGCAGGCTGCAGGCAGCAGATGAGTCCATAAATGACCCAACAGGATTATGAGAAACATTCAAAGATCATTTCAGCCACAGGAGTCAGTGCTGCTCAAAGTGGGATATATATATATATATATATATATATATATATATATATATATATATATATATATATATATATATATATATATGTACAACCACACTAAAGGTGTTTTTTGTGGAGTAATTTCTTACATAAAAAGAAGTATTTTCATATTCACAGTAATATGTACATCAGCTTTCAAGAATTACTGGTTGGTAACCGTTTCCTCTACAGGGACGCTGTTGATTGAATAAATTGGAATAGTTAAAATACAGCTCATTGTTATTTCATGAATAAACATAAATAATATCCTCAGGAGGGCCTACAACATGAAAAATATCTCACAGAGGTATTATTCATCTGGAATATGCATGCAAATCCATTATATGTAAAAGTTCAAAACTGCCCTGCCGACGATGGCCTTTTTAAATGGGACTTTCACTGATCAAAGTGCAAAGTGCAAAAAGATATTCTGGCAGCAGCAAATTGAGATAATAACCGCTGGCAGACAAGAAAAGTGCTGCAGATGATGCGTTAGTGCGAAATGCATAGGGAAAGGCAGAAGTTTACATTCACACTTACAGTTTTTCTGGTGAAACAGAGGTAGCGAGTGACCTTGGATTTGAATAAGCCGTCCTTCCACAGGTCGGCATCAGAGCCATCTGTTGTTTGTGCAACCTACGTGGAAAAAAAGAGAGAGAAAAAAAAACAAGGAGTGAAAAAAAACATGCAGGAGGTGGGATAAAGTTAATGTATGTATGCCACAAGCGTGTTGCTTTTGCCTCTTCCCTTGCATACTAGCCTTAATTAACGCTTGCCTACACTAGCGCTCCATCTCATTAGTGCTCTGCGTGGGTAAAGGAGTCTTAGCCTCCAAAAAGGTGGCTAAAAATATCATCCCTCGGGACCAGGCTGATTAAAGATGCCCTGACAAGGATCTGCTCTAATAAGGAAACCAAACTTCAGTGTGCTTCTGTGGGAAAGCAAGGATTATATTTGGGGTAAATGTGGAATGTATCTTTTTTTTTTTTTTTAGGTAAACTGAGAATACTGCACATGTACTTTGAATACTTTAACTGCTATTGAGCATTTAAAGCAATTCCATGTCTAAATAAGTCCAAACCCAGAGACCTCAGCAGCTTGTCCTTGTACAATAAGCTCATTCATAGTTGTAAATGATCAGTGGAGTCAGTAAAAAAATAGACTGCATCATATTGACAGCATGTGGGCACCACAAGTCAAGCTCAAGGTCCTAAACTACATTGCTATGTAAATGTAGGTGTGGAGGGCAGAACGATAAAGCAAAATATAACCTGCAGACTGCATCACCGAGACTCCTCTATCGTTCGAGCAAATACGGTTGGCTGAAACGTCATGTTCCATTGGCTATCATGTGAGAATCACCTAAATAACTGCCAGACCTGTTTTCTAAAGGGATCCTTTACAAAGAAGAGTCAATCTAATGAGGTTCATTCAAATGAAGAAGTCATAGATCTCTGCACCCACCCACACACATTACCCCCTTGACAATAATGATGAATGACCCCCGGTGACTGGGTGGGGGAAACATGGCATGGGGAGATTCATGCAAAACCACCACTGACTAGATGGGATGAGAGTGGGAGACTATAGTGGGGAACAGAGATAGATAGTGGGATGAGAGAGAGAGAAAGAGCACAAGATGAGCGGAGAGAGGGATTACGGGGCGTCTCCAACAGCAGTTCCATGAAAGGTCCCAGAAGGAGCCTATACATCACCAGCCTCCCTCTTCTTTACAAGACAACCCGTCTTGGCCACTTTTTCCAGGTCAGTAGCCAGCGCATCCTGTCAGCGTAAACAAAGGGCTCGCTTTGTGAAACCCAAAGTCAAGTTGAGGAGTAACGAGGGCACGGTCCTCCTAGGAGGCACCTCAGGCATCATCCTGCCACAGCCGCCGGCAGCAAGGATGCTACGCAGCTTGAATGTGAAACGCCAACTGCTGAGCCACGGCAGGAGAGGCATGTGTAAAGTTGCGGTGGCTCTTCTCTAATACTTTCAAGCCTGCCACTGTCTGGCTCCATCATTACAGGCTTCAATGAGAAGAATGCCACACGTCTAATAAGAGACGTCATGGCTATGATATTAAAATATGGCTGCATCATTTGATGTAAAATGCAGTGACAGATTCAACTGCCACTTCCTAAAATCTTACGCATACAGTGATCTGAAAGCCCACCTATGAAGCAAGTCTTTAGGGGGTGCTGAATTTTCCTATGAAGCATCTCTGGAGACCGACATCACCAGCAAGTTGCTACGAAGCACTGAGAAGCGCAGCTGTGAATACAAAGATATAAAGGCATACAATCAAAAATCTCTGGAGAGTGAAACCAGATGGAGAAGACATAAGAAAGGTACAAGGGAAAAAAACAGTCCCTTCAAAGGAGAACAGAAAAACTGAAAAGAAAAACATGTTTTGGATCCTTTCTCTCAACTGAAAACAGATAAACTGACTTCTGACTTTATATTAAAGAACTACAGCTGCAGTTACTTTGAAATGTTCTTTTATTCTCAGTAATAGTTTGACATTTTTGGATATGTGGTTATTGGCTTACTTGCCGAGATTTAGATGAAAAGATTGATATAAGTCTCACATCTGTGCATTAAGGAAGGAGCAAACATTAGAGCCAGGGAGCGATTAGCTTAGCTACAGACTGGAAGCAGGGGGATCAGCTAGCTTGGCTCCCTCCCTAAAGTTAAAAATAACTAAAGCTCACTTATTAACGTTATTTCTTGTTCATTTAATCTCCCGAAAAACTAAACTCCCATGCTGTCACTGTTACCTGACAAACAACTGTTTTCCCAGCACTTCTGAGCAGAAATTAATGAAATGAAACGGAGGGAATGAAAGAATTAAGATGCAACATCCTAGCTTGTTAGCTTTTAGAGATGCTGTTGGGTGTATTTTTGAGCTTTAGTCAGAGCTAGGCTAGATGTTTCCTCCTTCTTCCAGTCTTCATGCTAAGCTAAGCGCCTTCTGACCCTAGCTCCCAGAGTTAGCACACCAGCAGGAAAATGGTATCCATCTTCTCTTGGCAAGAAGAAGCTCACCAAAATGTCAACCTACACCTTTAAAGTGCAGATGCCAACTCAAAAACAAATAAGCAGCTATTTGGGCATCCTAGCTAATCAGACGCTAGCACTAGATGCACGACATGTAATGAACTTACATCTGATCAATGAGTTTATGAGCATAACATGTCAAACGCTGAGGCAAATGTGAAATACACAAATATATCCCCTTTGCAACCTGTGCACAGAGTGTGAGTGTGCATTAGTCTACTCATGGTGTTTGATGTTGGGTGGCTGCTGGTGCTTCAGCAAAGCTCCTGATCCCAGTGGAACAGTGTTTGATCTGGGCCTGTGCTCTCTTGTGTTGGAACAACCTGCTCAAGTTCAGAGATGTGAGCGCACCGTATCAGAGAGCAAAAGAGTTAATCAACCCTTTGATCTGCTGTATAAAAAGTATGGTAAGTATGGTAAGCAGTCAGTATTAAGGAGGAATTTGAAAAGAAGTCTGGTATGAAAGGAAAAACAAATCAATACAGCGTAATATCCTGAGACTTCCCCTTTCTCAGCACTGCATTAGTAACACTGATACGAGTGTTGATATTTTTGTTTGTATTTCAAGTTTGCAGATGAAAGACCACAGAGTGATGCTCAGAAGATGCTGTTGAAGATGGGACAAATGCTTCTGAAATAGTGCTTCAGAGTCTGAAAAGCCTTGAATTTTATCTTGGAGGCTGACTTGTACTTGACTTTTTATTCATAGGTATCCCACTGATATTTTATCACCTTGAACAATACGTTTTGGTTTTTTTTAAATTTCATTTTACAAAGGAAAACTGACACAGACTGAATTATATTACTGAAAATAATACTATTAAAGACAGGCTTTAAGCTGTCTGTATTGTAACCCTGTTCTCATGTTTTACCTTAAAAAAAAACAGTAGTTGGCATCGCGGTCATAGCTCAGTTATAAAAATCCTACAGCGCTGCAGAGTGTCTCTCCTGCTAAACTGTCTGCTGGAAACTTGAGGTGTAAGTATTGGAGTGGTCAACAGAAACGAGTTACCCTGCGCTGTGCTATCCTTCCATTATAGTTACTTTTGTGGTTTGGTCAATTTAAGACAAGGCTCGGTTTGTAAAGTTTACAGCCTGCTACACTGTTGTTCCTGTATATTGCTTAGTGTCCTATAAGGCAATACAAAAAAAGTCCAGCGAATGGCTCAAGGGCTTCTCAACTGATGCATCGACTAATCCATTTTTAGGGAACAGCCCTAGTTTGCACTATGCCCTGGTCGTTTTTGGTTTTGTGGCAGTATGAATTCATAATCCAAATCATGATCCAAAAACATAAATGAGCTGTTGTATGTAGTGACATGAGGCGATTCTTTGTATTTGAATGCAGTAATAGTTTCCTATGTTTATTAATATGTCTACACTTTTATTGTCTTCCTGAATGATGCAACAAGTCCACACTGTTTCCAAATTTCCAACTGCTGCTGTACCTTTAGGTTAACAAAAAATAGTATTTACAATTTACTGAGTGTATATATATATATGTATATTACAGGAGTAAATCAGTGCCACATTCAGCTTTTAGCCCCCCCAGAACATGCACAGTATTTGCACGTCAGCTGAAATGTACTGGCGTATTGGAGCAGCAGAGGAGGAAGTCTGATGGGGTTTCTCTCTGTTTGTCACTACTGTGTGGTGTGTACATAGTTCCCCTGCCAGTGGCTCCATTCTGATGCCAACCCACCATCATCTGCCAGAAATTAGAACAAGCTGGGTGTGCAGGGTGGAGCAGGAAGAGATAAAACTGGGGGGAAGAAGGAGGGTTTGAGGGCGTAGGGTGAAAGCAAGAAGAAGTCTGAATAGGAAGAGAGAGAGGGAGGAAGAGAGATCTGCCCTTGAGCTTGTTTTGTGCTTTGTTAAACTTACACACCCTTTTCATTTTTGAATCTCTCCATCTCTTTCACAACCAGGGAAAGTTAATATATATATATATATATATATATATATATATATATATATATATATATATATATATAGCCCATCTTACGCTACTTTACATCCTGACACATTCCTATTAATAGTGCAGTTGTCGTTGTACTTGTGTATAGGGGAAACATGGTGGTAGACTTAAACGACTGGTGGGCATCAACCATGCATCATTAAATTTTTGCCCCTGGTGTGTCTGTAATACTTGTGGCAACCAATAGCAATGTCAGGAAGGGAATCCTCCTAATCATCAAAGTAAACTTAATGAATAAGTCATCTAACAGCTCCAACAAAAACACCTTGGAAAGCTGCCAACATCCTGGCTGTGCGTTGTTTCATACAATCAGTTACAACAATTACATGTACAACCAACATCAGGGAACAGAGACAAAAGCTCTAATTGCACCTGTGACTTTTAAAGTAGGAAAAAAAAAAACTTCTAAGCTTAATCGAAGCCCATTAAACCAACCAATATATTGAAAACATGAAGTCATTTATAGTTTCAAATGATTACTCACAACGTAGTAGCCATCAAGAGCCTTGTTGAGTGAAGTGATGACTCCAACTGCAGAGATGGGGTCTGGAGGCAGCTGACTGCTCACTTCAGACATGTTGAAGCTCTATCTGAAAAGCAGAAGAGCCTCATCACGTTTTTGGCATTTCAGCAGAGCAAACTTACTGATCAACAGTGGTTGAATTTGAAATTTGCTTTGAATAAATACATAAAATGCAGATAGTTAAACAAAATGAGAATTGCATCCCCCTGGGTCAATACATGGAGCACGGGCAAGGTTTTTCTTGGCTAAAATGACCACATTATTGACTTCTTGATGAGGCTTATTAGAATCTAGAAGAAAAAGTGGCCGCCTAATCCAGAATCAGATGACAAGTGAGACCAGTGACAAAACAGCATTTGGAGACCACCCAATGACTTCACCAAATCACAAATTAGGCAGAGTGATCACATATTTTCAAGGAAGTCCCAATCAATTGCTATCTATTCCTGTCTAAGGGAATTTTTGCCTAATGGGTAAGCAAGCCTTTTACGGGGTAAGTGGCTTTGCAAAGGTTCCCTTATGCAATTTTATTAGATTAGGTTTAAAGCATTCTTGTACTAACTGACAAAGTCGCTGCATTCAATCTTGATGTTTACGAAATCTATTGCAATTAAGCTGATCAAATTAGGGGATTTACTCCAGAAACAGCTGTCTCTTTAACAAATGTTAGATAGCTGTACTTATTCAAATGAAACAGGATAGCAAATTAGCTAATAGGATGAAGGATCTCTTTGTAACATTAATTTGTTCAAAATGAGCTTTGTTTTCCAGCACAACATCAAGGCTTAGACTCATCCAGGCAGACCAAAGAAAAATCCATCTAAACTTATTTCTGTCTCCCATGGAAAACACCACTGCGTACTCAAAGACGGTAAACAAACTTTTAGTGTGCCTGTGATATTCAATACTAGGTTAACAATGACTGCAGCATACAAACTTGTTTTCATAAATAGTAGTAGTACAGGCATATTAGCCTACTATATAGAATTCAATGTTAGTGATAATATTGCAGTATTTTTATATCTTGTCTTTTCTATGATATCAACTGTGAGATTTATATTGCATTACTAAGTATAAGTTAATTAATTGTCACATAAGAAGAACATTATGCTGAGCTGGTCTGATTTCTCATTGTGTTGAAAATCTGCAATAAAACTCATGTAAGTTGGTGAGTGAGGAAGCTAACATATCATTTGTCAGTAATTAATCTATGCCTTTTACCTAACATAGCAGTTTACCAGTCAGCTAGCTAACATATGGTACGGCTATATAATACACATAACTAAATTAAGATCCATGCACTGATATAATGAGCCACCAGGCAGCTGATTTAGAGCTAAACAGCACCTGTTGTACTGTCATAAAACTGACAAACAAATGTGGTTTACTGTATATCTAACAGTCTGTTGTCTTTATTCTAGTATTTTTTTTACTAGCAATTAGTCATTTGTCCCAACAACTCCTGTGGACCTTGAGGATAAATCAATGCTAGGTTTAGTTTTAGCTTAGTTCAGTGTTAAATTTGTGCAAACTTTGCTATAAACTCCTTCATTACAAGTAAGTTATAAGTGCCCATGACGTAATGGCTGCTTCACAGAGGTAAACAAGGGGACTCATGGTAACGTTAGCTAACCTTATAAATAGCTAATGTGCAGCACCCTGCCAGATGAATCACCTGTCGCCTAATTACTGTTACTGCACCACAAACCCCTCTGCGCCATTACACACAGGAGTGAAGCTAAAAACCAGTTTCCTGGACGTGTTGTTTATTTTATTTTTTACCTGTTTAAATGTTTCGTCCTGCGCAGCGCTGCCACCTGAGCAACTCTGGACTTCACCCCGCCAACCTGTGGGAGGTAAACGCTTCCGGGTGTCATGGGTAATAAATTATTAACCAAAAACCAATCCTTGCATGATAGTGATGGGATTTTTATTTTATTTTATTTTATTTAAAAAAAAAAGAAAAGAAAAGAAAAGAAAAGAAAAGAAAAGAAAAGAAAAGAAAAGAAAAGAAAACTTTATTATAATTTTTTTTATTTATTAATGAAAAAGTTCCCATACAACTATTACTGTAACTGTTTTTTAACACTGATTTTCTGTAGTTTTTCGGTGTCGGTGTTGTTGTAAGCTTTCATGCACAATCCCTTTTGGGAGCTGATTTGAATTTATCTTAGGGGTCCAGCCTGCAGTGAAACTTGCTCACTGTATTTGCCTTTTTAGAATTTCATTATTTATGCTTATAGCTATCATGAGTTGTTGATGAATAGTCCTATCATACAGAGTCAATGAGTGCAGCACAGATTTTTAATTCAACAAATGAGGACATCTTATGAAAGCACTATCAGAAAGCCATATGAGCGGTAAATATGCCAATTTACTTTGTCAGAGTGAATAGTGCACACATAGAGAATAAAGGCCTGGGCCGACAATGCCACGTTGACTGGTGGGTGCATTTCTTCGCAATAACTTTTGAGAGCCAATTTGGCTATGATAACTAAATTAAGGTTGTGCTTCACTAAATGACGATCATTACATGGATGTATCTACAGGTCACGCCTTCTGACAGCTGGTTGTCTCTCTAATCATCACATGTCATTACTGTAATCAGATAAAAGTAAGATAAAGAGCAATGTATTAGCTTAGCTGTAACATTAGGATGTACATCTCCCAGAGTACAAAACTTGAAAGCCACTTTGTAGACTGTCCAAAACACCAGCGGGCGACAGATGCTTTCCCATCACCAAGTTTATTATTTCTACCCCCATCATACCAATCATATAACTTATTTCACTGTGCAGCCATTATCCTAATTTATTCAAATCAAAGACTTGTTGCTCTGCTTTGTGACATGGCGCCATATGCCAGTAGGGTGTCTTCACTGGGACCACACACACAGTGAAATGTATTTATTGGCTTACATGATGTGATCAATTTTCCCTTTTTTACAATGTATAAAGCTTATATAATGAGAGGGCAGACGTTCAGAGGAAAACTGACACCTCAGACGACCAGCAGCTTTCACCTCCTCCACCCTTACTGTTGATGTTAACTGAAGAGGCAGCATATTTAAAATGAATTAAATCAATAGGCCTGCATGAAACAAGGTGTTTGCTTGTTAAGGCTTTATCTTCCTGTTGTGATGATGCTTGATTATCATAAAAACCATTCTTCAGTTTTGTGTCTCAGTATAAACGTTTAGGACCAACTGAACTGGGGCTGCAACTAATGATTACAAGACCAAGAGTCCAAACCCCCCAAATATTCAATTTACAATAGGACCAACAAAAGCAGCAATTCTCACATTTGTGAACCTGGAACCATGATTTGTTTAATTTATTTTAAAATTGAGTTAAATGGTTAATCCATTATCAAAATAATTGCAGATTAAATTTCAGATATAAACTGAACAGAATAATACTGTATGAAGTGATTTAGGTAAGTATTTGACTTAAGAATACATTTATGGTTGACCAAACAACTATGAAGACCCCAGCCTGCTGTATTCTTCAGATCATATACTGTACCACTGCAGCATATAATGGATGTTTATAGATTTCTCTATGTCGATATCAATGACTAATAATTACAGCAGAGACATTTCCATGGTGGAAGACTCTCTCCTTCTACAATAGTCTTACTTCATCAGCTTCTCTAACACCACCCTGCCCCCAGACCCCCCCCACATCATCACCACTTCCCACCTCAAACCCACCAACACATGCCATGACTTCAAGGTGCTGACAAGCCTCTGAAACAGGCATGCTCATTTTGTGAAGAATTTGTTGATAAGATAAAAATTTCAGGTGTCAGTAGAAAAGAAAAAGATAACAACACATGCTCCGGCTGAGAAGAGCTACACCTGCTAAAGTAATGGTCTAATTATGGAATAGGTGACGAAACACTCGTTGAGAGTCTGGAGATATCAGCAACACATGCTAACTGTGAAAGCCATCAGCTATTACAGTGTTTTAATGTGCGGCGCATCGCACGCTGAGGTCTGTGGGGTAAGATGAATGATGGCTGTGGCAGATTTCTGTGGGGGAGCAGCCAGTGTAGGATGCATAGCATTACAGCTGGCATTTTGAAAAGGTTCATTAAAACTGTGATTTCTTTGTTCACGCTTTGTTTCACGTATACTTTATGACACATCTCAGTTAAAGTCGACCCCATAAACACCGGATCATCCCATCATGTGCAAACATATCCTACACATATTCTGCTAAGTCTTAACAATGTTGTAGTCGTGAGTGGTAATCAGTGGATGACAGAGGAGCCCCTGGACCAAAATTATACCTCTGTGAATGACTTTGCACCCAAATGATAAAAAACAGCAAAGGTTTTCTTTTCATGTGTAAAGGTCATTCACTGTGTTTTGTAATTTGCTGACACCAGTCTGGGGACTGAAGATGGAGATTTCTGTGTTGCCACCCTGAGAGTAATAATATCCCTATCTCAACTTGGGAAATCTACTGCGCCCCAACGTCCCCGTCACCCGTGTGAACCCATTACGGTCTGTGTAGAAATCTGCAGGTCTCATTTCGTATACCCCCCCCCCCCCCCCCCCCCCACACACACACACACACACACACCCTCCCCACTCTCCTTTTCTGTCTACACATAAAAAAATCCCTGTGTCTCCTGAATAGCTTATAATAACAAGCTTTAAGAAGCCTACCCTTAGTGCCCCCATAGGACACAGCCTTGCAAGGCTCTATAATATCATGCTTTTTTTCTAATTAAAGGTCAGTTTGGTCTCGTCTCATTGTTGCCTTGGCTGAAAAATCTCTTGAAACATGATGGCTTTGCCAAATGTGATTTAATTTTCCATTTATGCCATCTGTGTGCTTGGCTAAAGTACTGAATTGCAAGTCGAAAGTTGAAAATGTTTGAGTCATTTTGTAATTCTTCACATTTGTAGTTTAAAATGAATCACATGAAAAAGAGATTTCTTCCAAGACCAAACAGTGGGTTTTGGAGAGTGTACATGTATCTCATGTGCTCAGACACGGTCAGTCTGGCTTAAGTGCTTTCTTTGGTTGTATTTTACATACAGTCATCCCTACCAGCTTACACTTCATTGCTCAACTTATCATCAAACACACAACCATACACTCACATGTGCATGCACACCACACACACACACACAAACACACGCATGCATGCATACACACATATACTTTCCTCCGTCTGGTGGGGAGTCTGGACTGCTCCGACTGACTGCGCCTCACTGCCCTTGTGCAGTGGTGTGCCAGTTGTGCCTTCCCCCATCGCTGTGAATGCCACCATCTGGTGTGCCACGTGGACATCATAATCTCCCCTTAATTACATTAGCAGTGCAATCAGTTACTGCATTACAAGGCCGGGCGAAGAGCTTTTAAATCTTGGAGGAAATCATAAATAATTGCACTAAGTACCCAGCGCCAGATGTGCGTGCCAACTTGGCTGGCATGAGATAAATAGTAACCTCAACAACGGTGTTCAGTATCGACTCTGCAAACATTTTTTGGGCAGTATGATCCCCTTGTCCTTTGCTCTGGTCCCTGCGCTCGTCCTTTCCCTTTGGATCCTCTCACTTTGTGTGTTAAAGCACACAGAGAGGTTGGGTTCCATCGACTGTATAGAGTCAGCTACTTGTTGCTGCCGTATTTCCCTGCTGCATTTCTGACTGATGGCATCCAGGAAACTGTTCGTAACAAGGTGTTTCACAGCGTCACCATTCAGTCCATTACTACACCCTTCAATCATTCTTCAGTCGTGTAATTAGATATTTCTCAGGTATCTCGTGTAGGAAATTGAAATTCTTTATGGATTCTGAATAGTTGGGTTAGGTGTGTGAGTGTGTGTGCAGGGTAACAAGACATTACACATTATGAGACACCACCATGTCTTTCTCCTCGGAGGGGATGTTGCGTTGTGTTGCATGGTACTTTTCACTCATCTTCCTGTCATGTTCTCAGTTCCCAGGGCTGCTCATACTGACACACATCTCACTCAGCGCACTGCCAGCAGAGTAGAGCACTTGCTCTTGCCCCTCCGGCTGGACGGGACTGCTATCCAGTGCCATTACACCGGTGGTCACCAAACTCCATGAAATTATGAGCAGGAGGCATTGATAGACCCTTTTCACTGCAGACGGTTTGACTTGTCATATTAGGAGAAGCCCAGATGTTACTAATAACATTGATGATGCGAGTGAAGCTGCAAACACAATGCATGAGCCCTGGAATTATCAAAACTGAATGGGCTGCAGCACTTGTTAATATTATTATTTACACCTGACATGACAAACTATGTGTGCTGGGAAAATCTACACTGCAGAATATAAGTGGGAGACAACATATTTTAAAAAGATAATTTCTTAAAGCTAATGTGCAGCTAAGTTGATAACTGGTGTTTAGGGGAAGTAGAGTAAAAAAGGTTAAGGTTGTATTCACAATGATATTTATGGCACACATAAAAATATTATTTAAGAATACTAATATAAAGCCTGAGGTCCTTTCTGAAAGGGCAGGACAAGGCTTTACTGCTGCAGCGCTCTTGTTTTTGGGAGCCCTGCCAGGAGTCACCAGAAACTCCAGTATATTCAGAACAGTCCTGCTATTATCCTAATGACAGTGTAGAAACATCATCATATTACCCACAATCCCTCACAAACGTCACTGGCTACCGCTCTCCTTCAGGAGAGAGTTTAAAATTCTTCTCCTGACCCACTGATGTATCTCTGGTCAGCTCAGGTGCTCAGGATTTAATGTGCTATATATACCTCGGTGTTAGTGTCTTTCTTATTGTTAAACCATGAAATAAATTTGCAAAAGGTGTAATGAATGAAATGAATGATGGCTGA